TATTTCAATTGAACTCAAGTTGAGGAAAAACTAGGTACCCACTATTTATATTAAGCTCTATAATTATAAAATGTATTAATTTAAAGTGACAAATATGTAACCCTTTTTCTTGGTGGCCATGTCATGCGTCAACACTTCACTGGCAAGTTAGCCAGGACAAAAGACTTAATACATGTCATACATTTAACTAAACAAAAAGGATGTGATTCATTAGCCACAATGATTCTCTAAGCTTTTGTTCATTCACATTTGAATAAAAGATGCATGTTCACATCCAGTGGAACTGGATAGGACAGAAAGAGCTCTCCTCCTTAGGCATTTAAGATGCCCATTTTAGAGAATTGGCCTTTTGTCCACATCTGTGGTTTCAATAGCTCATGTACTTAAAGAGCACCTGCAGCAATAGTTTTCCCTTTTAACCAGGAAATTATGTCCACTATTGATGTTTCCCATATCATCTATTTAGGGTGCTGAAGTTAAAATAAGATGCAATTTTTCCCTTCATGGAAGGACTGCAAGTAACCTGTTTAGTACCATAACACCCAGTCTCCTCCCTGCACATTTAAGGGATAGTCACTACCTTTCTGAATAAAGACTGAACATGGAGCCTAAATTAAAGATCACAGATTCAGTCAAGAAGGAATATTCAGAAAAGCAAAACAGCACTGTCTGTAAATATTTCAATAAAGGACTATGGTAAGTGTGCTGGTGCCTAGGAATATTACCACACAAGAGCTGATAAAGGAAGTAAAACATTGCAATGCATCTTACACCTCTTAAATTGGTCAAATCCAAGGAACCTTCAAATTTGATCGCTTTACTAAAAGAAGATTCTTAAATCTAAGTGCAAGTCTAGCAAACCCACTGAACTCAATACAGAACCTGTAAACATTACCGGGGCTCTGCAGGATTCCGTCAGGGAAACAAACTGCCCAAGCAACAAATCCCAAGGATTGGGAAGTAAACAAAGCTACACAAGAAGTGGCTCCCTGGGGAAGGAAATTAGCCTGTCTCAGTGGGAGGTACTTCAGATCCTCAAGAACACACTGAGCTGCTAGCAGGCTGGCACAAACAGCCACATGCTTGCAGAGATAATTCATCAATATACATGTATAGCCCTTGAGGTACACTCAAAGCCATTGCTACATTCAAATGCAGTTAGTGGTTAAAACTGCACTTGTGCCTGCTGTTACGGTTGGTTAGCAAAAATGAAACCATACTACTACTACCACCACCACCACCACCAATTGATTTTTACCATTTTAATTCCTCAAAACCATATACTGTAAAAGCCAGTCTTCTGTAGAGGAGAAGAAATGCTAATTGTGAAGTGCCACGCAAATAAGACCTATTCTAGATCAAGGTCAAGTCAAATGTTGTAACAGGCATAAACAAAAGGATTTTGAATTATAAAAAGGTGCAAGCACTTGTCTTTTTCAAAAGGAATGAACTCCATCAGACTGGCCAAGAAGAAAGAGAACAGATGTGGTTGTCCAAAGACGCCACATGTCCCACCTAAGCCATGCCGAGCATTTTGGTTGTATAGTCGACAAGTGGGGCATCCCAGCATAGCAGTTATATTCTACACTTGCAAGAAAGCAGTTGAATGACCACATGCAAAACCGAGAAAGTCTACACTTTGAGTACCCCATACACCATATCAATCATTTAGGAAGGATCCCTCTTCAAACTGCTATCCCTTTCCAAAGGTTTTTAGAGCTTCCTGCAGCAGGGTGTCAGTGTTATCCAGTGGCTTTGTACCAGTTGCCAACTCTAGGTTTATTCCACGCACCTAGCCGAAGGATTTAAACCCAAGAATTTAAGAACTTGAGCGATTAAAGTCTGATAACCAAAACAAACTGCATTCTCCACCTCAATACTAGGTGATTGAAAGCGAATGGAGGGCATTTCCATCCTGTCCACCCTGAATTTGACTCTGGACTGTTTTACAGGCAAGACACAAAGGAACCACCTGAGAATTGCAGAGCCAGTGTACTTATGAACAGAGGTTTCCCCTCTTTCTGCAACATTTAAAAGCGTTGTACTGCCAGCTGGCACCATTGCCCCTTGAAGAGAAGTGTACAGAGACCTTTCATCGCAGTTTAAGACCAGTCTTGAATGCTCTGCCTTAAAAAGACACTGAAGATCCCACTGGTACTGCCCTTTCTCGTCTCCTTCAGTACTCAGTTGGAGGAATAGGACACGCCACCATTGGAAAAACTGTCCAAAAACTCAAAAAGGTTCCCCATTATTAAGCCCACTTATTTCTCCATTAGAATTCATATCATTTGGTTACAAGAAACTTGGCAAGTGAAAGCAATCATATTCCACATGGGGGGGTGGCAAGTTAGCCAACTAACCAACTACCTCCTGGGTTCTGGGTTCACTGGTACCCTCTTCCAGGAGCTCGCATTGTCCTCATCAAGTGAGAGTGGACTGCTGGAGAGAACCCACGTCATCACCCACACTCACCCTCCAAGGACAAGATTAACGGTCACTGTATGCGATGCTACGGAAAACATCACATCCTGAGATAGTATAATTTCCACTTTGCACCCTTAACTTCAAAGCTGGGATGGGATCTGGGTTGGTTTTGAAATGAGGCCTTTGACTCAGAACTCGATTTTACCCACCATTTTGTTTTGGAATGCTGCCCCCCATTGCCCTCTAAGTTGTGAGAAACTCAACAAAAGCAGCACGAAACTCGTTTCGTATTTGGAGACGACGCTAAACAAGAATGGCACTAGATTACACAAATAAAGGCTGCATCCATAGCAGAGCTTTTTGCTCACAGGATATGGGAATCGGGGGTCTCCGTCAAGAACAGCAGGTACATCTTTATAGCCGACAGTCATTCACTCCGTAAGAAAGGTTTCAACACTTCTTGAAACCTATATTCTCCAGTATATCGCGGGTCGTATTTTTAAAATTGAATTAAGCCGATTTTGTACTCTTGTGCAAAGTCAGTGTTGAACCAAGCAAAAGTAATGTTTCTACTTTCTTCATAGGCGCGGATGTTAATCGCCATTTTCTGAAAAATAGCTAAATGACACTCCCTAATCAAATTATAGTGGTGGCAATTAGTTTTCCCCACAAGTTCATTTGATGCGCATAAAGAAAGCGACTAACCCATTAAAAAAAAAAAAAGACCTATCAAGGTGGACAATTAACAAGGAATCCTGGTCAATTATGCTGACACTCCCCAAAACTACAGAACAGTTTTGTTTTTAATCATCTCATTCATGTAAAAAAAAGAGTATAGACTTTCAATTTTTAAACTTCCATTTTTATCGTTACAAGCACCGAGGATTTAAGGTCAAATTTAATGCAGCCACAGGCAAAATCGGAAAGGGAGAAACCTGCACCTTTTCGAGTGAATGTGAAATCGTCTTGTGCTAGGAGATGATATATACAAAACAATAAATGCAACCTCCAAAACCACGCCTGACTTGTAACACGTTTTTAACGTATTAAAAGAAACGTCATCGACAGTAAGTAATCTCCTAAGCAAAAAATATTTTACTATTAGCATTTAGCAAAAGGCATCTACCTGTAGGCCTCGCACGCAGAATGATCCAGAGATTGAATCTAAGGGAAATTTGTATAGTTAGTTAACCAAGATGGTCATCTTGTTGTAGATCCCAAAAGTATTTCACATATGGTCACTAATTGTCGCCGTGTTGAATTTCGTCATTACGCTACGCCACCCCCAATTAAATTACTTCTACACCCACATAACAGAAGTAATAAAAAGTAAGACCACACACGGTTGGAGTCCAGCCTCTGATAAAGACCCCGGTAACAAAAACGTGTGAGAGTTACAGTTCGTCACAGCTCAGCACAATTTTCTGCGAGGAGTCTGCCTATATACTGTACGTTCAATAAGTATTAATTTTGTGTCTCCCCCCACGAAAAAGCACTTCTTCCCGTTATGTTCACTCCGTTTGTGGTTTTAATTGAAGTGGCATGACACGCAGCCGAAAAAACAAAATCCTTTTCCCTTAGTAGTTTAACTGGACCCTAAAGAAAAGGCACTCAACTTCATGCCCTGTCTTCGCGATACAGTTTTTGTTTTAACCAGCTAGTTCTTTGAATTCGCAACTCTTCAAACGGCCACAAAGTAACCGTACCCTCTCTCCATCTCCTTCTTGGAAGACGCTGACCTACCTTACAATACCGCTGGCAAGAGCAAGAGTCTTAGGAAGTTCGCTTTTGAAAAAGCCTAACGAAAGGAGACGTTCATAAACGCAAAACACAACAAACTTTTGTTTCGGAGGACAAAGCGACACATTGTCCTTACCTCCTCTTCTGCGTTGTTGTTCGGCTCAGTGTCGGGTTTAAGATTACTCATTGTGGAACTTTTAACGCTTCTTTGTACAAGAAAAAAAAAGTTTTCCCCCAGCAGTTGGTGGGTTTTCCCTGAAGTGCCTTAACTTGCAGAAGAAAATCTCGGTGCTGTTTCGTGAAAGACTTCAGAAAATGGGGTGCCCCAGTGCAGCCGTGCTTGAGCTACAAATATCCGAGGAGGTACAAAAAAAAACCTAAAAACTAAAGGTGATTTAGTGGATAGGTGCACTGTGAAGGTGAGAGAAGGGAAAAAAGAAGATATCTTATTTCCCTTGGCTCTTCACATCAAGCTTGTTTGGGCTAAATTTCAAATGAGAAAGAAAAAAAAGAGAGAACCAGCTAAAATTTAAAGGGGCTCGGCGTCGTAGTCTTCCTCCTTCTGGTTTCTAATTTGGTGATCAATTATATTAAAAGCCAAACAGAGTAAGTGGCACTCATGTTGGAGATGGGTCTCAGCTGTGGTGAAGTCCAGCCCCCAGCGCAACTGCATCATCGTCTCTATGGGAAACCCCTAATCCAATCGAAAATCACTTCCAAAACTTTTTTTTCCCTTCAATTTTATTACCCAACTTTCGTGGCTTCGCTAATTTTGCTACTCTGTTAAACTGTAAAACTCCGGGGAGGGTGCAGTGTTTTATTGTGTGTTTTTCTCTTCTTTTTTTTTCAACGTGATTAGATTATGAAGTTTATTTATATTTTAGAAAAATAATAAGAAACAGCTACTGCATACCGTGCCAACTAAAAGTATTATGAAAATGAAGTTTAAGTGGGGAGCTGCGTCAGCTTGTTACTGTATCTGGAAGGGAGCGAGTAGATGTTAATTCCACGCAGAGAAAAAGGACACAAAGTTTCGGCTGTTGAATTTCTTCGGGCATCAGGTGAAGAAGATTCAATAGCCGAAACGTCGAGTTATTTCTAATTTTCAAAGTTATTATAAAAATACACGTACCGCTCTTAGAAACAGTCACATGTACTACTGTTGGAAACCTCAAAATGTATTTTGTTTTTAGTTTAATTTAACCAGGGATTTACAGAAACAACACAAGGGAGAAAAAAGCTGCTTCTTCAGCGTTGTTGAGGACTACAGAAGTATATTTATAACCACTGCTGTTTGCGCGTCTGAACACGTAGGAATCCTGGCAAATATTAACTAAAATTAAAAAAAAACTCTTAATAATTTGAAAAAACACATTATCATCGTAAATTCATCTTGCAACGTAAAAGCTTTCTTTAAAATTTTAAAATTTCTCTAAAACAGTGATGTCTGTAATTCAACACCTTCGTTTCTCTTCTGAAGAAGAAAGCATCCGATGACGCTTCAGAAGAACATGTTTTAGAAGAACCGTTGTTGCTGATGATGTTGTTAATGTGCCCTTATAGCCCGCAACATTTAAAATGTTTTTGCATCAGAACTCACACACAGCCTAACAATGGTTGACGTATATCCGAATGTAAGAAAATTCCGAATATTTTTTTCTTCACAGGGCCTGCTAATGTTTTACAGAGTTTTAAGGGGAGCTATTGTATTCAATGACCTTCAGTCTATTGCATGAGAACTCATAAAATCTAGTGGTAAAAGTTTTGCAGGTAGACTTGGTTTTTAATGAGTCACCAGCACTACTGGAGACCGGACTGTTAGTTGCATTAACTCCCGCGGTGCCTAGGAGCGGCTAGTAAAATTAACAGTCTAGTGAGTCTAGTGATGCGTTTTGAATCTGAAAGCACATTTCGTTGATCCAGAACTGTTAAAACACACCCACACTAATATAAGTTGGCTACTTTTGAGGAAAAACTTCCCACCATAATTATCTGTCCAGGATATGTTTCTCTTTAGCCTCCGGAGGCGGTCTAAAGTGTATACAATAGTGCATGAAATGAAGAGTGATTTGTTACATGGAGAGACAGCTAAATTCGTGTTTTTCTACGTCGGACAGCCAAAAGAGTGAAACTTCGCTAATGTCCACCTCGTTTAATCTTAACATTTATGTTGTTTTTTTTTAGCTAACATCTAAAGCAACGAGGGAGCGCATTTAATAAGGATTCGTAAAAAGACACTAAAATGAAATTATACTCGGAAGTCTTAATATTATTTAGTGTGACACAAATGTCAGTATGCAGGTCAAGTGATAACAAAATAAACAATATTTTGTGATCTGGAAGTACTGTAATTTTAAGATGGAAACGCCAGCAAACGTTAAGAGCCTGATGATTTTCAGGATAATTTCTTCAGATATGCTGTATAATCAAACCATTTAAATAGTCCCACTGCAATATATATCACGGTAAAGACACCAATACCAGCGAAGTGGTGTTGTTTTTTGCCTGGTTATAGATCTTGTATTATATGTTTTCAAAATATAATAGTTTAATATAATAGAATAGTTTAATATAAAAATAGTTATGTCTAAAATATTCTTCCGTTCACTGCTTAAATCGGTGCAATTAAATGTGAAAATGTAAGACGATATTTCACGAATTTTAAATTCTTTAGTTTATTACCAAATACATCAGATACAATTCTTAAAAATATGCATGGATACCAACATTACGTTAAAAGAGAATCCAGTTAAAAGTCACCAGTTAATTACCAGTCACCAAATTAAGACATTCATTTCTTATCATTTGGAACTGGTGTTCCTCTTACTTTGAAGTACCAAAAGTTCAAAACGTAAGATGTAAAAGGTTATTTCATTAAATTAAATTATGGGATTTATAAAAAAAAATGTTTAAAAAATGGGACCAGTTGCTGTATGTACAAAATGGAGTATTATCAGTTCTTATTTGTTTGGACATAACGTTCATATATTCTATTGTGGTCATTTGAAAAAATGTAACCACACATTTAATTTTACATTTTCTCAGTAAAACATAAAGAGAAACATGCGTGATATGGTATAGTATGTTAAACAACAGAAAGTCAGCCTAATATGGAGAATGGCTAATTATTCATGCTAAATGAAAGTAAAACTGCAATGTTACAAATTGTGCATTGAATAATCAAATTAGTAATTTGAACATAAATTATATTTAGCAAGAGTTTATTTTTTATTTCTTCTAATGCTACAATTATCCATCTCATTAAGAGATATTTCAAGGAATATCACCCCTGAAAAAAAAAATCTTGTTAAATCATATTAACTATGGTTATACAAAGCTTGTTAGGTACATAGTTTTGGGACAACAAGAAAATAGAACATCGCCTACAAGTGTGAATTTACAACCCATTGTAAAAAAATACTCCTCAAGCTTTTAAAAAAGCACTTCACACAATGTCCACTAATTTTGAAGTCCCAATTCAAAATGTTTCAGAAGCACACAAATGAGTAAGGCTTATTGCTGACTGGGAATGTCTTCTGAGCTCAGCGGTACAGTAGGATTGCACAAAAGTGTAGTTTTTCTGCATTCTGATTAAAGGCTTCATACTGAAACAAAGGAGAGTGGATAATAATGCAGTCTCACATTTCTTCTAGGACACTCAGTTATATGCAGAATCTTTATTGAGCTAAAGACAATTATAATGTACTGTATAGATCAGGCTTCTTAATCCTAGATGTTCAGCTCCAGTGATCTCGGTCTGGTCAGGAATTCCCTGTTGTAGTGTAGATGCAAAAAATAAACTTATACCAATTTCCCCCAATTTCCTGTGAAGACCTGTGCTATCTCTGGGTCCTGTGATTCAACTCCACTAAGCAATATGCACTTTGAAGTGGGGGACACCAGTTTCGTTTACCATGGATCACTAATCATTGAAGCAATTAAATCCATAATTGACACAGACATTAGTCAAGGTGCAGAATAATGTGTGGGAAGCTACAAAGTAAAGAAAATAGCCCCTTTCACGTGATCCACATCCGTATTGTGTCCACAAAGGTAGTGAAATGAAATGTGTTATTTATTTGACACAGATTTCCGGAACTTAGTATCTTCTAAAAAGCTTTTGAAGGTAACAACAATCAAACATGACCACAATGCGTTTTTATTTTAAAACGGGCCTGTTCATTTGTTAATTAAAACATGACGTAAAAAAAATAAACTCTGCTGGGATTTACAATAAAAGGCAATTGTAATAATGAAAAACACTGCACTATTTTCTCACACAAATAAACAAAACCAACATTCATGAAATAAAAAAAAAATCAAATATGTTTTCTGGCCTAACAGTCTCAAGAAGAAATCAAATCCGAAATTCTGAAAATATGTGATTAGGCACAGAAAAATTACCTTGGTAGCATAGGTCATGATTTCATATGTGACAGCAATAGGAATTGTTAGAATTTCTCAATTTGACTTTGCTAAATAACATTTAAACCTTACAAAAGAACATTTAATAAGCTACAATTATCTTTCATATCTGTGCCTAAAATGATCAATTTAACAAATACAGGCTAAAAATGTAAAGCAAAACAGCTTCTCTTGAAATAAATGTGTTTCTATTCAAGGTGGACTTTTCTCCAAAAAGATCAATAATATTATTCAGCACATACATTTATCTAAATATGTCTATATATGGTTTTGCCTATATTTAATACCACCATCTCATCCCACAAGTTATTATAATTTCCTTTTATTTTCAGATGAATAACATGTCCTTTGTATATACTCGTTTCAAAAGAGAAATCATACCCATAGCCTCTTGATCTGGTCATATTTATTTACTTTCATTAGCCATAGTACCATGTTAACATTGCAAATGGTCAAATGGCCACAATTACCACATATTTTTTTTATTCATGGCCTGTGCCCCTTACCTCAGCTTATTAAACTTTCATGTAGCAATGGGAGGTTCTGAAACAGAAATTAGAAATTCCAGACCTTTGTTGCCTTAGAGACGTACTGCATTAATTTGGCAGCTGTTGTTCATATTCTTTATTTAACTGTTTAAGGCCAATATTCAATTGTTTCAGATAGTCATGAAAAAAAAACTTAATGCAATACATCGCTGTTTTGGGACATCATAGAAGATGACGTAATCTTTTCACTTCCTGAATTGTGCTGTTTTTTTCAGATACTGATCAACTCGTATACTATGGCTGCTGATTTATATTAACTAAATTGACTAAGAATAGCTTTTACTGTCCCAAGAGAGGGTATTGTAACAATGAGCACACATACACAAAAACAATGTGTGTGTTAACAGTGTTTTATCTGAGGATGAAAATTAATAAGAGGAACAAAACACGAAAAATGTAGGTTGTGCTTCATTGTGGAATCATCAGCTTCCTAGGGAATTACATTTCGGGAATATGGGATATTTTCTTCAACTGGTAGTCCAGTATAACCCAGATTTTAAAGCTCAGAGCGTTTCCTGACTTTGTGTGGGAATACAATTAAGAAAACACCAGGGATGTGGAGCTGTGCTCAGCTGCAGTGGGAGGGTCCGAAATTGTCCTGCTCTTTTGTAATCACTGAACCAATGTTCCTTCTTACACTATTTCTAAACATAGTTTTT